TCGCAATAAAAAGAGTGTGTATAAACACTTCAACATGTTCGAAGAGAATGACTAAAATCGTTAACTTTTAGTTGCAGTGTTCGTTTTTTTAAACTCACAAATTGAAATAAAACAGGATAAATTAATGAATCTGTACCAAAAAATTGATCCCTAAAGTTAATTTGGTTCCAAAGTTGTTTATTAGTTTAAATATTAAAAAAATAGTAGAAATGCCATCTTTCAATGCATAGTCTATAGCACTACCAGGTAAGCAAGATCAGCGATACATTTTAGCGCAATTTGACGTCATTTTAATTGTGACGTCATTGTGTTCAATTGTGACGGCAGTCAAGGGTATTGTGACGTGCCTGAGTCGACGGTGCGTTAAAACGTATGCGCAGACAAATAGATTGGGCCTCGTTAAGGCCTTTTTTTGGTCCTGACAATTTCTGAAAAATTAAAACTGATTAATTTAGGTTGAAAATGCAGTATTTATCAATTGGACTGTTGGTGACCAGGTATCTATTAAACATGACGTTATTTTCCCTCCAGTCAATGCATTATGACGTCATAAAATGCGTCATTTTCCCCACATCCTGTAAATTCCTTTGAAAATGGCTTAGGGTTTAAGAGTATTTTTTAATATTTCACATAGCATGTATAGGGCACAACCGCTGATCCAAATAGCAATTACATAATGAAAGTTCTGTTTCTGAAGATTATAAAACATGTTTTAATTTTTGGATCGTGTGCTGAGCTCATATTTTAATTCTTTGCTGAAAGTAGCCAAATATGCATTTTTTCTGCAATAATCAAGAACATTGTATTTTTTCGAAGCCTGTTTTCCAATGCTCAGTTTCTCAAATAAAAAAAAAATTATTAGCCAAGGTTTATTCAAATAAAAGTACTGTTAGTATCAAAATATAAGTGATTTTTTACTGAAATTAAAAAACAACGGAAAGTAACAGCTTTTTCAAAAAGCTTGCCTGACTAAATCAAGCAATATCTGCATGAGGAGTGATTTGAGCATTTTGAGCAAAATTTTTATGGGTTTGATTTTAAAATATGCCCTAGGCTTACTTTATATTTTGAGAACCTTGAGTAAATGAAATCTTGATTTTATTTAACTTGTAGAAGAATCATCTCTTTACACTGCATACTAAAGATCTGTTATTCTGTGGGGGTTTTCTGAAAGTGGTTCTGCCCTTGATCTAAGTTGATCTGCCCTTGATCTAAATTGATTTCAAGCTACATTGTAACACTTACTAGTATTATAAAATCTATTATCAAATCATGCATTGTTAACATTTCAAAAGATGAATATAATTAGATACACATTTTGTTGGAGGGTATTTCCTCCACTGAAGAAAAGAGTAGTGATGTGTGTTCATGGTTTTTTTTCTTCAAAAGGGGCGGAAAGTGGGGTAGTGCCACTATCATATATTGAGAATTAAATAAGTAAACACAATATTTAGGCCTTTGTAGAAGGAAAAAAGATTTTGCACTGGTTTCTTATTTATTATGTACATCTGAACAGAGATATAAAACAGATCATGCATCTGGAGACCATGACTTGTTATTTATCATTGAACTAGTCAATTTATGGAATAAACCAACCGCGGAATAGCGGGGTAACATATTAGACAAATCATTTCTTTACTTAGTGACATTTGGCGCGAAAGAGCGATTCACCCCTTTCGTAGAATATGAATGGACTGATCCGCTAGTTTAGAAATGCTGAAAAAAGATACACGGACAGGTTGAAACGGCGAATCGCATGGAATAATCTGTTCCATGCAAAAAGACTAAAGGAAGTAAATACTGCAGTATTTTGCATCAGCAATTTCATTCTTTTTTCTTGAAAACTGTTTCTTTTAAAATGCAGGTAAAGAATTCCAATGTAAATCAGCTTGCACAAAATCTAGCTCTCTAGGTATGATCGCATGGTTTCGGATTATGAAAATATTGAATCCTTTAACAGCCTGACGCCGTTACGTCAGACAATAAAGCACTGTAGCAACTGTTGATGATATATTTACATCCACTGAATATTTTCTTCTTTTATTTCTTAAGAAAACCCATTGCGTTCATCACTGCATGAACTACATTAGGCATATCACCTGTACAGATTTCTTGATCAGTGGCCGTTCCATCAATGAAACGTACAAAGACGTTCGCATCATTAACACAATAATTAATATTTTTAATCCTACTTAAAATGATAATTTAAACAGATATAAATATAAACAATAAAATGTCTTTCTTTGTTTGTTATTACTGGAATGAACGGTCGCAGCTATTGCAGAAAAAAATTACATAACCCGCTTACGCGGGTTATGTATTTTTTCTGCAACAGCTGCTTCCGTTCATTCCAGTAATAACAAACAAAGAAAGGATTTTATTGTTTAAATAACTGTTACACCTCTTTATGATTCAAATTTCATTAAGCTTTGCAACTGTGGAGCTTATTGCAATAATGGTTGACTGTTTCAACCGCTTATGCAAAATCGCCGCTTAATGAAAGAATGAGCATGTCTACTATTAATGCAATGATTTATGACATGAAGAGTTGCATTGCAAACGCTTGATTTTTCTATCATTAAAAAGCATTTATATCATGAGCGGTTGCTACAAATATATTTCACCTTGAAGAATTTCAGCTTGCATTTCCTCGCATAAAAACAAAACGACTGATACCAATGTAGATGATACAGGCACATGGATAATTTTAATATTGATGAATAATTTACAATTTGTTGCAATGAATAAATCATTCCATTTTATTTCTTTAGACAATAGAAGGATACAAATCGATATCATTAAACATGAAGCTTGAAAAAAAAAAATTTCCATGCAACAATTTTACCCCATATAAATATTTTAAAATTACATATTGTAAGAAATTTAATATTACCACAGGTACTTATGTTTATTAATATGAAATGAAATTAAAAGTGATTTATGGTATTTTGCAATGATAGGAAAATCTTTATATTAGTGAATAGTAAAATGATCGAAGTAAAAGAAGAAACAAAATAACCTTATATGTATAAAACTAAGCAATTTCTTTAAAAAGCTTGGATACCTATAATTTTTATTTCTAAAATGTACTTCTTAAGGTTCATAAATCCTCTGATCACTTATATAAAATGTTGTTTGAACCTTAATTATTTTCCGAAAGAGATGTATTTTATAAGTAAAATGCAAACAAATATAGCATAGCTTGCGGGTCAAAATTGGACAAAAAAGACACTTCAACTTGGCAAATTTATAAAGGAATAATAGACATTTATATCATTAAGAGTTATCTCTCTTATCAGTTATCCGAGTATCGATGAACCTAAATTATATTCAAACTGAAAAATCCATTAATTTATAGGTGTTTTTATTCACATTTCCTGAAAAAAAATATTTGTGATTTACTAATTTCCCCTTTATTATATGATAAACACTAAAGATATAGGTTGAAGAATTATCGTGGTAAACATACGTTGCTTTGAGAATTCCTAGTCATTTTTTGCGAGCATTTTCAATTAGTCAATGTCTGCTTTTCAGAATCTGAGGATCGGAGTATGATATCTTAATCTAGAGTTATTTTTTGTCAGCGAAAAAATGTCCAATACATTCTTAAAGGTGCATAAACAGATTTAAGGTAAACTGTTATTATTTTCTGTTAAATATCACGACTAATAAATTGCACTCGCATTTCACACGAAAACTTATTAAAAATCTAATTTCGTCTAAAACTTCTTGAAACTTTAAATTTTTGGATGGGTTTGATTGACACATCATTTTTTTAAATTGTCTATTTTATTGTCTTTCTTTGCAGATAATATATTTGAAATGATTTTTAAGTAAGGGATAAATAACGAATTGTATTGAATAGTTTAGAGAAAACATTTTCTCCGAGGGCCGAAGGTGGTAGGATAAAAGTAATTTAGATACTTTATTCAAGAGAATTAATATATCCTTTTATTTTCAAAAACTTAAGAAATGAAATAATGAAAAAGACAAATTTCGATAGGAAAATTCGGGAGGAGTTAGTCAAGACTCGAATGGAGGGTGTTGAGCGTAGGAATGTTGCATTTTCCTTCCTAGACAACGTAAGATGATGTTTGAAATAGCCCGTTATTATCGTTTTGTTAAGTGTTTAGATCAATATTTTTTCACAAAAGAGCTCCCGTACATTTTCCTATCGTAAAAGTAAGCCGTCAACTGTAAAAGTCAGTGTCTTCGCAAAATTCCACTGAGAGCATCGAGCCAACGAACCCGACGCATAATTTGTACTTTGTAATTAACTTGCTTACAATAAAAGTGACAACTTTCGAATAAGGTATTAGGGAGGGGGGGGGGGGCAAAAGCTAATTTTTTTCACGGGTACCTGGGTTTTGATTTATGAATATGTACATGTATATACCTTATTGATATGTAAAAAAAAAAAGCCTTTTAATTTATCGATAAGGGTACATGTACATATGTACATATATGATAATAAACCAAGGCCCAAGTACCTGTGAATTTCTACCCCCCCCCCCCCCCCCCCCAAAGAAAAAAAAGAAAGAAAAGAAATCAATTTATTTGTAAATTGTGTACATTCGCTGCTTTTATCCTTCATGAAAAAATGAAATAAGAACATCAGAGGTACAATACCCATAACATTGTATGAGGTTTCACATAAACGTCAATTAAAGAATTTTTTATTTTACTAGTTTTCACAAAAAGTGGTTGGGAATGGTAACGTACATCTACTTCATGCGGGATTTTGAACAAAGTATTTCTTCCCTCTATAAGTCTGTAGTCTGTCAGTAACATCTACAATTTACAACTACAATATTTTTATTTTTCCGTTGTAAATCGTAACTATACATGTATATATAAATTCAGTTTCCCGCGCTTGCGCGGGTGTATATCTAGTTCCATTTAATTTTACATGTAAACATTATTCTTATACTAATGCTAATTAAAAGCAATCCTTCGCATTCATTCAATTAAGAATATTAAAATTGGATGAAATCTATAGAAGGGCTCGATCGATAAATTTGCTTGTACAATCGTAACTAATGAAGCTTCCATCCACAAAAGGACCCTGCGTTAAATTCTGCAAGCGAAGAAATAAGGGGAAAGGGCTGTAAACGAATGTGTACTACATCGCCTTGGTTTATTTCTATGACAACGACATTTGTGTGACTCGTGGAACCACTATCCTCAGCGCTGCAGGACATTCAGTGGACAGTATTTGAATTCACAACCAATTGCGATATAAGGTATTTACAGGTAAATGTCCAGGAGAAGGTGTATACGCCATGGTCAGGGGAGGTAAAGATTCCTGTATGATGGTTGTAGCTTCCACCGATGTTTGTTATCAGTTTGTCAAATATTACAGTCTGCATATATTCGAGACCTGAGTGTGTTGTTGATGAAAAGAATGCAACAGCACCTGTAAAAAATAAATCCCACTTTACCTCTCACAACTAACTGACCTATGACGCAACAGACCTCATAGAAATATGACGGTACCTTTCCCCCGCAAGCACTTTATTGCGCAGTACAAGTTTATCTAAAATTTAGCGGAAATGATAATGAGGTGTATTCCCACTTAGCCAAATTTCTGAAATCGTCGACACAGGTGACTGGTTTTGGCTAGGAGGAAATGGGGAGCAGGTAAGGGGAGGGAGAGAACAAAAGAAATTAATTACAGGTGTCTTATAGTCTGTTTTAAGTTAACAACAGGAAAAAGATTTAAATATACATAAGTGCTGATAAATCAATGAATGGTAAACGAAATTAATATTTTTAGATTATATTTTAGATTTTTTTTAATTTGAATTAATGGAAGCCATTTTTAAATCAAAATTATTTCATTAAATTATTACTGAATAAATAAAAAAAAGATCTTTTTTAAGTTTTTAAATTTGATAATGTTTTAATGTACTGCATAAGCTGTTCATTTTCAAATAAAATTAATACAAATAATTACCAATATGCCTACATTAGACTGTTTTGTTTAAAAAATATGTTAAGAAAGATTTTTTTTTTAATAAATCACCTATTTTATCATTCAATTTCTTGGTAATGTACATGTAACGAATTCTTCTTGATGCGTAGAATGTATGCCAAAAGTTTAAAGACTATTGACAAGTTTTTTTTCTAAATAAATTTACATGAACATTTTTCTAAAATTCCTAGTTCAACCAAACTTTGATTTTGTGCATTAAGAATTTAATATAAGTTTTGCATGGACACTTTATTTATTTTTTCCTGTACAAAACTATAATAAATCGATAATATTATAATAATTTTACAAAATGTTACATCAAGAAAATTTGTGTCTACTATCCTTATAACTTTTTTGTCTATAATATAAGACAATTCTTATCAGACCTATGAAAAAAATTATAGAAGGTTAGTTCTAATTTAGTGCATGTGTGAAAGATATTTCAATAAGTAAATATGCATATACGTATGCAATCACAACCTCTGTTTCTTTATTTAAACTATCAATATATTTTTTCTACTTTATGTGATTCCTAATTAGTTCAAATATTAAATTAACTCATTTTTTTCTTTTCAATCTCCCTATATCTTTTTATTGTAAAGAATTAGTCAAATAATAATTTAAATACATACAATAATTATTAAATATTGTCAATTATTATTTATCTCCCTGTTAAAGGGTGAAGTACTTTTTTTCAAATTATTTTGTAGAACCTGATTAATTAATATGTAATAAAACAAATATTTATATGTATTTTGATATTGAACTTATACACCACAGAAAATTTTTACAGGTAATAAGTCTAAAACAGACGATACACAGGTGGCCACTCAGGTGTGAAAATCCCAATTTTGGCTAGATGGGAATAAGAATTTCAGAATTTTGGCTAAGTGGGAATAATCCGATAATGACGTGAGATTTTTATGAGATTAAAACTTTTCATGTTATCTTGGATTTTTGCAAATATGAAAAAGAGAATTGGCATTAAATTGAAGGTTAAATGTATCTTTGAAAGTGCGTGAAAAATGCGTGACTGCAGGGAAACGGCACTATTATATGCGTGATTTTGCGTTAGAAATAGGAAATAGTGTATTTGTAAAAATGCGTGACTGTGGGAAGTTAGTTCGTATGAGATAAACTTTGATGACAATAACATTTTTTTTTATTTTTTGCACATGCGAAAAAGACATTTACATATCCTGTTCTCATGAGCTGCTTAATAATTCTCTATATTATACATGTAAACATAAAAAAGTGCTAATGCATCCATAACCCATTTGATAAAAGTTTACTAGTATACCTTCAAACGACTTCTTCTGAATTCTTTTTAGTGGTAATTTCGGAAACAATCCATGTGTCTTGTTTACTACACTTTGTCCGGTAGCAGATGCACTCTTGATTGGTTGAGTTTTGTCTAAGTCTTTCGTAATTGTAGTAAAGTTCTTTATTCCATGTTTTCCATGGTCTTTAGCGAAAATAGGCATCTCCTCTCCCTTTTCTGCAACGCTAGTCACTTTTTCCGTTCCCTTTATCAACGATCTAATGAGTATGGCTTGCCCCTTGTTTATTTTTTCTTATAAACTGAGCCTTTCTTCAACGTCACTTAGTCTTAGTAATAAATCAGAGATAAGCTTTGCTTTCATCTCCTCTTGCTGAACATCCACAGCAACAGCAGAAGATAACGACAAAAGAAAAAGTACAACGAACATCATGGTGAAGTTAATCTAGCATTTGAATGCTGTTAAATACAAATCGCTCGAAGGTTTTATATATTGTTACAGTACTGGCCTATGAACTTTCAAACACGACATTTGATAAGGCATTGGAAATAACAATGACTTTATAAGCTTTTGTTACTATATACATGTACATTGTTTTTAACAACGAGAACGATCTTGTAGTTTCTTGCAAAATTCCCTTTCTTGGTTAATTAATGATATTTTCATACTTAATCGTAACTTTCATTAATAATTTGATGTAATATTAACATTTTATTCTTTTTCAGTAAAAAATTCTTCAGTTGGAATGGCTAGGAAAAAAACATCATCACATATCCACAGTTTTTTTTTAAAGAGAAGATTATCTTGTTTTCGTTTTACAATAATGTTGATCACTTTATATAATTTAAAGTATTTACATATCTTTATTAAAAAGAATCTGATTAAAACACACTCCTTCTTTCATTAGTATCAAACATTTGAAAAACATTTCAACCAATATTAAACATAAAAAAACATATTATGTCGACAAAATAGATTAAGAATGGTTGGCAGTTTTTGTCATGGCTTTATTGATTAATAGTCAAATCAATCATCAATACAATCAATAGTCAAAATCAATCATCAATATAATCAATAGTCAAATCAATCATCAATACAATGAATACAATGATGTACACAAGGTATCTCTACAATGATGTACATAAAGTATCAATTCAATGATGTACACAAAGTGTATATTGAATAATTAATACACAATGGGTACAATGATATTCAATGATAAACAATGATATTCAATCAATGATGTACGCAAAGTGTATACATGTATTTACACAATGGGTACAATGATATTCAATGATATGCATTGATATGCAATGTTATTCAATAATATGCAATGATATTGAATGATATACAATGATATTCAATGATAAATGAATTGCAATGAGCAGGTAGCAATGTATTACAAAGACAATGGTCTACGTCGACTTTATCAATAGTATATGACGTAGAATCAATAGCAATGGCACAATGACGGAAGCTCAATTATTGGCCACTGGCCCTGGAAGATAACAGGATCAGCAGCGAGCTTCTAGCAAAATTCGATTCAGCATTAAAAAACAGCCTGTAAGAAGACCATATACTTTGCATTTCAATGAGACGTAACAAAGCCATGACGCTAATAGGTCCTTTTGGTATCCAAGGGAAGTGAGGTTACGGGTCCTATCGCTGGTAGCCAAGGACGGCGGAAATGGATTCTTCTGCTTGAGGACAAGGGAATGGATGTAATGGATTCTTCTGCTGGTAGCCAAAGGAATGGATGTAACGGATTCTTCTGCTGGTAGCCAAGAGAATGGATGTTAACTGAAAAAGGAAATCAAAGACAGCAGCAACATTTTGTTGGCACAAGAGAACAATTCATCAAAATCTTGTAAATTGGGAGAGGTGGGTGGGATGCTGAGCTTCAATGGCTGACGGAAGATGGAAAGGAAGAGCAAATGCACATGCGTAATGGATGTGACTAAATGAAGTCAGTGCATTTGAGTGAGAGTTATCTCCCCTGAACTTTTTATCTCTATTTGTCTCCATAACGGGACTTAACTCATATTGAGTTAACTCGGATTATGTCGACAAAATAGATTAAGAATGGTTGGCAGTTTTTGTCATGGCTTTATTGATTAATAGTCAAATCAATCATCAATACAATCAATAGTCAAAATCAATCATCAATATAATCAATAGTCAAATCAATCATCAATACAATGAATACAATGATGTACACAAGGTATCTCTACAATGATGTACATAAAGCATCAATTCAATGATGTACACAAAGTGTATATTGAATAATTAATACACAATGGGTACAATGATATTCAATGATAAACAATGATATTCAATCAATGATGTACGCAAAGTGTATACATGTATTTACACAATGGGTACAATGATATTCAATGATATGCATTGATATGCAATGTTATTCAATAATATGCAATGATATTGAATGATATACAATGATATTCAATGATAAATGAATTGCAATGAGCAGGTAGCAATGTATTACAAAGACAATGGTCTACGTCGACTTTATCAATAGTATATGACGTAGAATCAATAGCAATGGCACAATGACGGAAGCTCAATTATTGGCCACTGGCCCTGGAAGATAACAGGATCAGCAGCGAGCTTCTAGCAAAATTCGGCCATATGTCTTCACATGGGAGCTAATAAAGCGCAGCATGTGAAGACATCCGCCACATGCGGCAAATTTTGCCCACACCATGACAAAACTGCTACTTATTACAATTATGTAAAATTAATTACTGCTTGATATATATGCAGTATACCGTAGAACTAGGGAAATTTTTTACGAAGATCAATAATATATGTAAATATGTAATGATCAATAACTTTTCAATAGATCAATAGTTGCAAAGATCAATTATGTAATGATCAATAACTGTTCAATAGTTCAATAGAACAATAGTTGCAAAGATCAATAATATATGTAATGCTCAATAACTAAATGGAAATGGTAGGTAGCACTGCAAATTTTGACAAATTATTTTGATTATGTCACACTGAATGGTATAGAGAATAATGGTAGAATGTGCTATATGGGAAAGGTGAACAGCCTCTGGATTGATGAGCCCTGTTGAATATTGGGGTAGTGACTATACCCCCACCCCTTGTAGCAATGAACCAATATAATGAGCTATATATCCTAATGCAAACCTTGTGTGACAACATGGGCCTGAAATAATTTCTTGTCAGCATTTGTGACCCAATAAATTTTAACCTTGGTATTAAACATAATTGAAAACAAGACAGTCAATTTCATAAACTTTTGTAGATGGCAAAGGGACATGGAACCAATACTATTACCCACAATGTATCATTATGACATGTGGGTTGTTGTATTATGACACCAGAGTTCGAATATTTGAATGGTGGGACCTTTTTCCAGGTCATTCCTTGTTGACCAAACCATCTGATATGGATGTTGTATTGTTCGAAGTCCGATTCGCATTATCTAAATTGATGAATGTGTGATTTTTTGCATAATACTATTAAAGATGATGCAATAACCCACACAATGACAGAAGTGCCTGCAAACTTAGAATAAATTTAAAAACAGTAAAAAGGTGTTGTCAAGTGTGACTGTCAAGTGTGACTGTGTCTGACAAAAATTGAATGAAAATCTGAAATGCATGGACTTCCATCTCCCTTTAATCTTTATATAATCTTCAGACCAGCCTGATAAATTCAAGTGTGTAGCACCCCCCAATTCTAAGAGTATTACCCTTACATGTTTTAGTGTCAAAGCCAAGAAATGAAATAAATTTCTGTAGCATTAAAGTAATGGAATGACGAGAAGACTTCACGCCAAATTAAGCAAAAACTGAACATGGAATGTTGGGTCTAATTGACAAGTAGCTGTGAAGTATTTTAAATAATGAAGATGTTTCTTGGTTTGACAAAATGTGGAAGATATATATACATGTATAATTATGCTTTTGCTAAAGCTGCATTTTAAATCAATTAATTATTTATTTATTTATATATAATTGCCTATTTATTTATTATTATATTATAAACATAATTTTTTAAATTATGGGCTAAAGCTGCATTGTGAAATCTTCAGCTACATGCCACACTTCCTGATAAAACTTCCTGATAAAACTGTTTAATGAAAATTGAATGACAAATGCCACAGCATTGAACAATACTGCATTTGAAAGGTGGGCTAATTGAAATTGACAATAATCAGCTAAACAAATTTTAACTTTTTACAAATGTGCTCTGGGATGAATATGTTTTGGCATAACTATATGTTTGTTACTCATACGAAAATTAATTCCGCCATTTCACGTGTATCTTGTATAGTATTTTTTGTATATATTGTACATGTATTGTTGAACGTCATGTACCATTTATACGGTTTGAATGAATAACTTGAACTTGAACTTCCACTTGGCTTGTGGAACTTTTGAACTAGATCAAGAAATGTTAAATTAGTGGTTGGGCCTTAATTTTAACCTGAATTAATTGAAATTTCTATTTCCTGACAAGTTTGTTAGTGTTTAGGTACATGTAGTTTCTAACACACTAAGGAATCGTTGAAACTTATTTATTCGTTTTATCTATTTTATGTTAAATACAATATGTGGCCTACAATTTTAAACTGATTAAATTGGAATTTTTTATTTCCTGAATTTATTTTTGTTCCTGTCCTGGTTAAATGTATTATAATATACGATTATTGTTGTCTATCTGCAGTTGTTATTTACTATTTAGAAAAATATTAAAATGTATTGTGACATCTGAACAATGGCAAAATAGAGAAGTTTTGTAAACAATGCCATACGATCCCTTTATCCCATTACAGCGCGTGTGTCAATCCCGTGCATCTAAATCCTCCCTATTTGTTTCCATTTGTATGTGTGTCAATTATCGGTAATCTAAAACAAGGGATTGAAAACTGGATTAATTGAAATTTCTATTTCTTGACAAGTTTGTTAGTGTTTAGGTACATGTAGTTTCTAACACACTAAGGAATCCTTGAAACTTATTTATTCGTTTATCTATTTTATGTTATTATAATACGATGTGTGGCCTACAATTTTAAACTGATTTAATTGGAATTTTTTATTTCCTGACAATTTTGTTGAAATGTTTAGGTAGTTTCTAAGAGTCTAAGGAATCCTTAGAATTTATTTTATTTTGAATAAGTGGTTGGGCTTTCAATCTTAATCTGCGTTAATTGGAATTCCTATTTCCTGACAAGTTTGTTGAAATGTTGTAGTTTCCCACACTATTTATTTATTATTTTTTATTATTATTAATTCATTAATTAGATTTTATTTATTTCTTATAATATCTATTTAGTTATTAATTTATTTTTGTTACCTACTGACTGACAATT